ACTGTGCTTCAGTCACGACATTAATGAGATTTTCAATCTTTTAATGTTCTCGCAAAGTAACGATAATTCAGAAAGATAGCATAAGAAATAGTAACTAAAAAGGCGCTCAATGCGACTCATACTGCAGCTAGCCATGGACGTTTCGATGAGATACTGTAACTGGGTTTAGCTATCTATGGTTCAAACGCGTAGACTAACTTACTATATATTTCATAATCACTGATTTTCTATTAAGGCAAGTCAACAGGCCACAATAGGGGATTTCGTTTGTGATACGCAAAGTTCCAATTAAGCTGATATTCCAAAAATTATTTGGGAGCTTTGCTTTACCTTCTATCCATTTGGGGAAGAATATTCGGAAATGCAGGTGAGTACTGCGCTTCATGCAAAAAGCTACAATTAACTACTTTGGAGAATCGTAGGCTCAGGCTCTGAAGATTTGAAGACGTACAGAGGGAAATACGAAATCACTGAAACCACTACCTTTTAACATAAAAGAAACTAATAAACATGCGTTTTTATGAATGTTCGTTGACTCTTTGCTTAAGGTTTGTTTTGATTGCGAATGTGTCTATTTAACGTCGTTGGAGATACACAGAATTCTGTAGGAAAAGCGGCTGCATGGCGAAACCATCGTGACCTCTCACGGCAGCCGCGGACAATGAATCACCAACTCCGGATGATGTATGCTTTAGGATCACAAACTCGCTGGACCACCGGTCAGATCAACTCTTCGCTCGGCTCAGGATGTGAGCCCATACCTCTCACATTTACTTTACATATGCTTTTAGCTGCTTCTTTGTAATAAATATATTCCTCCTTTGTTCTGTCTTGTAGTTTGATGGCCACAGAATTGATGACATTCAAAGGGAGGCGCCTGTAGTTAAGCTGGGTGAAAAAGAAGCTATAGCCATTTCTCCCTTATCATCTCAGCTCCATATTCCTATCTAATTATTACACCCATTCGTCAAATTATCGTTACAGTTCGCATGTTAACTAAACACTACTTCACACTACTTTTAAGGAATGCCGCCTTTACTGCTACTGAGAAGACTATTGGGCGTACAAATTTCCCAAAAAAATCTAATATAAGATGTTCCTCACTTTACAGGCGGTAGAAGAACGGAAAAATACGCTGTCAGCTCCCTTAGCGACGTCGACTAAAATGCGATTGGAGAAAAATACGAATGTGACTGATGTGCAGCGACGCGAGGAATACCTATATGTTTAAGAAGATCGTGCTTTCAGGTCGAAAGCTTACGTCTAGTGAATATCTCAGGAAAAAAGAACAAATGCTGCGTCGTACGCGTGGACAAGGTGCGCGAAAAGTAACAAGAGCAGTTAGCGTAACATTCTTTTTCAAGTGAAAGTAAATTAGATTGAAGATCTTTTAAATGAAGAAGTTACCATGCTGAAAGTTGCTTACAACATTTCTGTAGCTAATGTCAGCTAATTTTCTCCATTCCTACTTTCGCATTTCCAACTAAAGCCAATAAGTTCGCCACTGGTCTCATTGTAAGTAAAAGCTATAGTTGAGATGTTGCTATTAACAGAAGTTTTAGCAAACCTTACAAAAAGAAAAAGGATTTATTTGTCTGAACAACAACAATTTTAAAAATCCTGTAAAATTTTGTACATGTATACACATTTCTGCAACAATAAAAACTTTGGGTAATGTTAGTCTAGATCAGCTCCACTTGTGCCATAACGCAAACAATTTCTTCATGTTTGGTGTTCCCCTTGTTCCAGTTAAACATTCGAATTTCAAACTCGTATGGCCTCTGGAATTTTGAGAGTTTTTCAATGCATCAGTATTAAACTATTACTCACATATGAAGCCAAAATGTTGATGATAGCAGAATACTGAGTGAGATCCAATGGGAGTTCCAGGGTAAGGGGTCCTTGCGTCAAAGGACAGTTGTGCGCATAGTCGCATCCATCAATATTGTTTCTGAAGGGGAAAATTTCTAATGAAAGAGAATCAAAGAACGATTATGATAAAAAGAGAATCAGAAATATGCTCCTTCAGCCCAAAGTCTGAGTAAAGGAAGC